AGGGGGAAAGCTGGCGAGCGGTTCATACGGAATGTGCATACATATGCCATTGAAAAAAAGCAAGTCTCGGTGGAATCCACGTTAGCGGGTCAATTGTGGGTAGCGCCGAGGACGGAAATCTCTTTTCGGGTGGTGGATACTCCGCCGCAGCCGCCGCCCATTCAGATACCGCTACAATAGCTCACACCACGTTGCAACGCTACAAAAACGTCCACACACGGAATCCGCCGGCCTTAACGCTTGGCAAATAGTACAAGTACAAACAAACGTAGAGACCGCAGAGAGAGAGAGAGAGAGAGAGAGAGAGAGAGAGAGAGAGAGAGAGAGAGAGAGNATGGCACTCTCTCACACACACATGCCACACACACATGCTGGAGGGGAGGTCTAGGGTGCGTTCCCCCCGGAGGTAACGCCTCACCAGCCTTACCCCTTTGCAACAGTCAACGAGACAAGAAGAGATCGGCTTACGCATGCCAATTCACCTAAGACCGTGCGCCACAGTCCAAACCTATCACGCACGACCACCTTCTGTATCTGTACCAAAATGAGGCTGGACTCTTATCATTTCCCCCCTTTACAACGCGTAGCAATCAGGGGCGGGCGGAGTTGCTAGGCGCTGTAAAGGGGAAAAGGATTGGAGCCTAGACACACACTGCTACAGAAACAACAGGTGCTTGTGCGTGATGGGTTTGGACTGTGGCCCACGGTCGTACGTAAATCGACATGCATGTCTCTTGTAGTCTCTTTGGTTGCTCGCAACAAGGTTACTGTTACAATAGCCTGTGTGACCACTGAAGGCGTCAGTTACAGCACCAGCGGATGTGAGAATGTACTGAGCAGAGATCGAAACGAAATTTAGAAATATTTCTTTGAACACGACAACGATGTAGGTGCCTGTGAGAGTGAGCCTCTGCGTAGATGCTGGTGGTCGGGACACACCCACAGCCGGGAGCGCGGTCGATGTTACTAAATAGCAGCAGCTCAGCTCCTTAAGTTGGGGACTCATTTTTTTTTTTTGTCTTCACATACAATCAGACTTCAAGCATTTGTGACGTTAACTCCAACCCGTGGTCACATTGAAGGGTTCCTCTACCTGAGGACCCCTACCCAGCCCTCCTGCGGTGCTTTCGACTTCGATGTATAACGCGAGAAGAGTGCAGCAATCTTTTCCCTCTGTGTACACTCGAACTAGCGCTTTCCACCCACAGGCCAGGAACGGAAGCGAGAGAAAACTCATTGTGCACTTCAATGCGGAACATGAATACTCGAGTGTATCAGGCGCAAGCCTTCTAAACTTCACCTTAGTCGCCACGGCAACCATGCAATGTTCCACATGTAGGTTCTGTAGGGTAAGGGTACGTTCGGTAGGGTAATGGGTCTGTCGCAGAACTCACAGAAAAGTTCGGTAGGGTACTGGATCTGTCACAGAACTCACAGAAATATAGGGTATTGTGGTGAGCCGTCACAGAACTCACAGAACTTTCGAGTTCTGTAAGCGAACTGTCACAGAAAAGTTCGGTAGGGTTCTGGGTCTGTCACAGAACTCACAGAAAAGTTCGGTAGGGTGCTCGTTCTGTCACAGAACTCACAGAACTATAGGGTATTGTGGTGCGCCGTCACAGACTGCAAGCGAGCTGTCACACAAAGTTCGGTAGGGTACTGGGTCTGTCACAGAACTCACAGAACTACAGGGTGTTGCGGCGCGACCTTCACAGAACTCACAGAACTCGTTTGTGGGGTGGTCGAAGACGGTACCTACCCGCGGTTGTTGCTGTTGTCTTCACCTTACAAAACCATCGCGGTCTCTCTACCCAGTACCTCTTTTCTGTCTCAAAAAAAAGTGAGCGCTGAACCAGCGGTACCCGCGTGAATTTTCACTTGTACTTGCACACTCTTGTGCCTTGACCAAGATTTAAGATAAACTCAAGTTATGAGTTTTCCACCCAGGGTTCGTGTTCTCCACATACACCCCCAGCGAGTACATGAAGGACTTGTCGCGGGAGCCCTTTCTCACGAAGTCAGCGGGCGCGCGGAATCTATCCACCGCGTCGACAACACCCCGGTCTACCTCCACCACCTCCCCCTTCTTGTTGTAGACGGGCGCCGGTAGGATGACGGGTACGCCCCCCGCGCTATCGCCCGCAACAACCTCTACCTCGGGTGAATCTCCCTGCCCCGCGCCAGCGCTACCTTCGCCTACACCTGCCTCCGCCGCGTGCGAGCTCGCCTGAGTCTCGCCCGCGGCTTCTGGCGTAGATGAACTTCTGGGGTCCACAGCGCTCATGTTACCTCTCAAACCGATACCGTGCGTTGTTTGTGGGATGTGTGGCATGTGTGACAGATCTGCAGGGTCCGCCGGTCTGTGTGTGAGTTCGTGAGGGTAGAGGGTACGCTTCAAGTTTGGTTCGTAGAGGTGACGTCAGCCCACCGGGGTAATCACACTTGTGGAGGGTAGTTCCACAAATGTATACCCGTACCGCGGGTATTGTTGACCCGGGTGTACAGAACCAGAGGGTACGTTCGGTAGGGTACTGGGTCTGTCACAGAACTCACAGAAAAGTTCGGTAGGGTACTGGATCTGTCACAGAACTCACAGAACTATAGGGTACTGTTGCGCGACCTTCACAGAACTCACAGTTACCGAGGGTACCTACCTCCGGTGTGGATCTGTGGGTACCCTACAGAACCTACCCTTGCAATGTTCTCTATCTGCTGTGTGTCTGGAAGCCGTTGTTACCAAGGAAGACACACGCAGATGGGGACAACCAACAAAAATCTCCGCCGTCAATGATGGTATGTATACAAGGACGTGCGCAACAGCTCGATAGACTTGACCCTCCTATGCCCATTTAGTTACAGGTTATGGGTCAAGGACAAATCGCGTGAAGTCATTGGGAGACGGCTGTACAGTCCCGAGGGCCGAAGGCTGACTTGGCTTCAGCATAGAGAGTGTCCCCAAATGCACTAGGGAATACTTTTTATTCTGAAGCCAAGGTAGCAAATGTTTCCAGTACACCAGCGGCTACGATTTAAGGAGGAATTTTAAAGAGAAGGTAAGGGTTTAAGAGAGGAAAATCGCTTGGCACGACCAAAATCGATTTAAGAGAAATTTGGCATATTCTCTGAGATTTTCTCTTAAATCGAGCTGCTGGAGGCCACGTCATGTAGCCATCACACACATCCCACAGCTCTCAACGCAGACACAGCTGCAGACACCATGCCCTGCGCAGCGGGCGACCGCTGCACTATGCCCGACGACACGCCAGGCCTGCCTAATTTCACAGTACTACTACTGTACGTGATGTAAAGGGTGTTTCGTTCCATGGCTCGTTTTTGGCACGAAGGCTGTGGGTAGCGCGTGTTCATGCGTGAAGGGGATGGGTGGGGTACGAGCGGTTCGTTCAGTACGTGCGTCGGTAGATTTTTCCTTGGATGCTGGTGCATCCATGGGCTCGCGTTGTACTTCGAGTTGAGATGCGAGTACAGTGTGCAGCACAACACAACAAGCAACAAATACTTCTATATTGTTTTTCCACGCGCACTAAGCGTGCCACACGACAACATGATGCTTAGTCCAATCTCCCAGCACAGGTTCCAAGAGCGTACCGTGACTTGGGTCCATATCGCTCGCCGACCAACAAAGCTGTGTGTGGAGCTAGTCTAAGGTCCTGACGCTAGCTGGGTCATGTGACATACGCAAATGATACGCTCTCCATGAGCTCTGACGGCACATACTGCTGGAGTGGGCGTCAGGGCGTCAGTGTTCCACGACCTTTCGAGTTGGCTACGGTATAAGGTAATTTTCTCTTAAAGTGAGATATGGTTTAAGGGAATACTCTCTTAAAGCGTAACCAAAACGGTTTAACAGAAGTGCCGATTTAAGAGAGCAAAATTGGCTTGTACCAACCCTCTCTTAAACCGTAGCCGCTACTGTAGTATGCATGTAGGCGATGTGGATACTGCTGTATGCATACCGTTTTACTGTACCAACAAGGGGACCCGCGGCTAGGGCAATTGTGTACAGCACGTCGGAGCAGGCCCAGGAGAGGCACACTGGCACCACACAACAATATATCATACAGCATACACAAGCATGGTAGACCAAGGTTTCCCACGCACGTTGAACGCAGTGGAGAATATATGTAGTGGCGATCACGGCGGTGCGGCAAAACAGGCAGTTGATTGCTGTGTCCCGAAAGTGTCCCCGTTTGGGCTTCCAGTACTACTGCGAACACGGGAATCGACCGCGTCGAGTGTTGTATCAGTACGGACATACGAAGGTACTGGGTAGAGAGAGATCGGAACGGTTCTTAATGTGAAAACAACAACAACTGCTACAGGAGTTATCGAAGTTTCGAGGGGGATTCATCCTACGTATTGTCACATTCGTTGTTGCACTTGTTCCGTGTAAGAACAACCCGTGAAAGCTTGAGGATCAAGACCGCATCGAGCGCGAAAAGCACGGGTTGCAGAACAGCGGGTCTGCAGCAGCAAGAGGAGGGACATCCAACAGCCGAGCGAGGGCCAGGGTTAGTTGTTGGATGTTTGCGGTGAAACCACACAGAAGTACCAACCAGAAAAACGACGAGCATACGCAGCCTGTCACCGCTACACCTTGCTCCCCCCAGGACGGCAAGCCAGAAGTTCTCGAACCGCCACGACGTTTTTAATAGTGCTTAGATGCCCCCCTCAAGCTCCCATACATGACAGCATCACACCACTAACAGCAGTGCAAGCGGTAGCGAAACAACACTTGAATATTGGGTCCAGGGTTTCCGAGAACAAATCGCACCGCCGTAGATTTTGACCGTCACGTGTCGAGCAGCGCAGCAGCCGCAACCTGCCCGACACTTCCGACTTACTCACCGTCGAATTTTTGCCGAGTATGCATCCAGCTTGCTGCTCCCTGGATCCTCCATTGTCTGCTACACCACGGCTACGCTCTGCAGTGTGAGCGCAGGTGAACGGCCGTCACTTCGAGGCTCCGTGAATCAATGGTACTCCCTCCATATTGTTCAAATCTCCCATCCGCGCAACACACAGCCCACTCTCTCAGCTTTGAAGCGTGCAAACACTCACGCTACATAGGCTCTCGGCTCTCTCTCCCTCCGCCTCTTCTGTCTCCGTCTCCTCTCTCTCTCTCTCTGTGTTCCTAGGCGTATCCTTCTCCAACAATGTAAGCGTCCGTGTTCTATTGAAATCTTCGACAATCGTCGTTGGCTCTTCGCTGCCTGTAGATACTGCTTGTTGTACCTGAGTGAGGCGATCTCCATTGGGATGTCCAAGCGGGCATGTGTATAGTACGAGTGCATGCAGCATACGGCATGGTATCAAGCTATCATAAAATGGCCTTGTACGCAAGGCAACGGGGAGGAAAAGCAAAGCCATGCATGACAAGCGTAACAAAACTTGGAAAGTGGCTGCAACGGGCAACGAACCGTCGCCCATGTCTGCAGCATCATACGCATATTTTATTATAGTATGGTAGATCGAGTCGTAAAGATCCTGCTAACGTCTGAACGTATGTTTGAACTATGCCTACTTGGGTACTGCTGATCTACACAACAGCCATAGTTGCCAACACTTTCACAAGGAACACTAGTGGTTTTGAGCAAGGACCTACTTTGCCTCCGCGATTTCGCACGGGCTAGTTACGAAGCTACCGCGTTACGGGTAGGATAGAAGTGTACAATATGCTGTACCGCCAGATACCGGTAGCATGTAAGTGTACATTTTGCCGGCGGCTGAGCTCATGTTCTTGCTCGCAACTGTTCAAAAATTCTAAAATGGGGCCTGCGTTACTCGTTGAATTGTTGAGTGTAGCATACCGCTGGCCGACGTGCGGTCGGGTCCTCGCCCTTGTCGACGGTTATTTTCTGCGTGGGACCCTACAATGCAAGCACCAACGTCCTCCTTCCACGGTTGTTGCCCTACACGAACTGTTGAGATACCTACAGCAGTTGGGGGAGTAAAAGACGTCTGTGTCGGCGTATGAATGGAAACGAAACCCTTTTACCCTTGAGGGCACACACACTTATTTTACACACTACACTCGTGTGGGATCCAGATATAATCCGCTGCACACACCGAGGTCCCTTCGCCCCTCTCCTCCTCTCTTGCGGTTAGGAAAGAACAACGGCAACTATGCAGATACATACAAGTGCCGCCGCACACCGAACGCCTGCTGCCCGTTCTCCGAACATCGCAACTTACAAAAGTAGCAGCGGTGGCTTTTGGTGTAAGCGCAGCAGGACACACGCCTCTACCTCAGAACCTGGGAGTTTTGTTTTCCTTGAGGCCCAAGAAGAGACACAATTGAGAACTTGGCCTGAACCCTGCACAACAAAAACAATACTCTCTCTGCCTCCCGCCCCCCTGCAATGGTCTCAACAATTAGGGTATGCAAAACACGAGTACCCCCTCACTCCCGCCCCCACCCCTCCTTTGGTGTAGCAGCAGATGCAGAGTCATGCCCAGCGCCGGCGGGGGGCCGTGATCTTCCTTCATGGTTCCGGCGACACCGGCCGCGGCGTTCGAGACTGGCTCAGCTCCGCGTCGGGAGGCAAATTCAATAGGGCCATAGCCGAGCTGGGTCTTGGGGAGGTGGTGTACCCGACGGCACCGGAGAGACGGTACACGCTCGCGGGGGGGGCGCCGTCGACAGTGTGGTTCGACCGGGAGAGGTTAAGCCCGGGGTCTCCGCAAGATCGCGCGGGCGTCCTTCGTTCTTTGCGACAGGTGAGAGGGGGTTACCAGTGTAAACGCATGCTGTAGTCGGTAGACCTTAGACCTCGCATCCGACGACGCATGCTGTAGTCGGCAGACCTTAGATCTCGCATCCGACGGAGCTGTATGCCAGGTTTTCGCCGGCCCAGGCTAGGCAGGGGGAGGGGGCGAAGGCGACGAGTGTGCGAGAGAGGAGGGGCCGGGATTGAAGATTGCAGGAAGAAGGAGCTGTGTCTCACCTGCTTTGGCCGATGCGGACAAGCACTTCTGTTGGTAGCAGCTTCTAGGGTGTGTACAATGGGGATTGCACCCCCTTTTTTGTCTTGCGTTGGAAGCGCTTACCAATCACGGTTGGTTACAGCTGTTGTGTATTTCGTGTCAGTTTTGGTCCCAGAGAGCGTCAAAGCACACAAGAATTGAACGACAAGCAGGAGCTTGTTTAACAAGGCAGCGTGGCAGAGAAGGAAGGACCGGAAACACACACATATGTTGAGGAGGACCCGATTCGCAGGGAATCCGTCGATTGACTTTTACCAGAATCGTCACACCTTCGCAAATGCATACCGTAAGAAAACGGAAGCGTTCCGATGGTGTTCCAGCTTTCTTCATGGTCTTACCGTCTCGAATACCTCCGGCCGGGACCAGGTGGAGGACGAAGTGCGAAAGTTGGAGGACGCGGGAGTTCCCAGCAGCGGCGTGTTTGTCGGCGGTGAGTCAATATGTCGTTGCCAACGCGCACGGACACCCTCTCGTCCTGTCCCCTCGCTTGTGTCTCACGTGCTGCCTGCCTGGTGCACGTCGCCCCTTGTTGGTATCTCCCAACACGCCTCCGTAGGGTTTTCCATGGGGGGATGTCTGGCGCTGGAGACTCTCGGGGCCGAGGGGCTAGCGGGACGATTAGCTGGGGTGTTTAGCCACGCCAGCTTCCTGAGCGACGATTCGGCCGTGTGAGTGTGTTTGTTGACATAGACATCATGATATTTTGACGCACACGAGCGTTTGTTGACACACACGTACACACACCACATTTTGCCGCGGTACTATGCAATGCCCTGGATGATGATGATGTCAAGCGCGCGAAACGTTGCAGCTCGTGTGTTGTGTCTCCTGCTTACGCGACCTCAAGCACTGGCGGTTACCCCTTGCCCACCATTTTCCGCCGCCCTCCGGCGGAAGCATGCACCCTCGTCCTCCCGCAGAAAAGAAAAAGCGGTTTCGTTTTGTCCATTTTCCTATAGCTCTTGAGAAAAAAACACGCTCTTGCCCTCGTCCTGTCACACCAAAAAGATCATTTTTGCGGATCAACTCCTTCCGGCGGCCAGGTTCGAGATGACGGCGGGGTCGGCTGCGCAATCGTCCCGGCAAACCCCCACCCCCGTCTACGTTACCCACGGCGCTGCCGACGGCATGGTGAAGGTCGCCTGGGGTAGGGCCACCGCCGAGAAGCTCAAGGCCAAAACGGGCCTCGACCTCACTTTCAAGGAGCACGTCGAGCTAGACCACGAGCTGGGAGAGGAGCAGGCAAGGAAGTTTCTTGGGGTGGGTGGGGGGTGGTGGTCGTGAAGATCGGCAACAGCGGGAGGAGTGGTGGTGTTTTTTCCCGCGTCCCCGCCCCCCTCACCTTTGGCAAAGTAGATTGGCCATCATCGGTGATCGCCTAACCGCTAATGCATGCAAAACATTAGTGCACCCTCCCCCCCCCTCCCCCCCACCCCCC